GGAGCCTACATTACCCACAGTGCAACTCAATAGCCAACAGTTTGGTGGGAGACAAGTCTGTGTGCTAGTAGCCTAGCATATATACACGAATTACATTTTTCAAAGTCATCCAGTACTGATGTTTTTATACCTTTGCAGCCTATTAGGGGATGCTAACAGAGCTTTAGTCTCATTCAGTTGAGGCTGATCAGTGTCTATTTAGTATTTTAAGGGCTGTGAATGTGACATTCAGGGCATTAATACAGCAGCAAACCCCTATTTGCTATGTATAGATATGTGGAGTAATGCCATCCTGAGCTGTAATTCAAGCTTGTGATGTGTTGTGATTAGCCGGCTCGACCCAGCCCCGCAGGAACTGAGCCGGGCTTTGAACATGGACTGATTGAGACAACCGGATGCCCATTCATTCCTAATAAAATTGCTCAGAGGTGCATGAAGCCAAAAAAGTAGGAAATTACCCATTGTCACAAAAGTGTAGCACACATCCTCCGGCTCCCCCCTCGGTTAACATCATTAGCTCTGTCACCACTGATGTTATCTAGTGCTGTCTAGTGTTGTCACAATACCAAAATCTTTGTTTCGGTACCAATACCAATATGAATTTCGATACTCTTCGGTACTTTTCCTAAGGAAAAGTCCTTTTGGATACAAACCTTTAGAACAATAAATAGTAGGGGTGTAACGGTACCAAAAAAATCATGGTTCGGTAAGTACCTCGGTACGGATGTCATGATTTGGTAACTCAAATGTTCCACCAAGTTTGTGTTGTCTCATGTTGTCTCCCTTTGCGAGGCAGACTTTCTCTTGTCTTTTTTCATGTGCGCCAGCTGCGGATGTTGATACAGGTGTTGTCATACACACCACTTGTGCAATCTGTGCTCCAATAGGAACAAGAAAGTTGTTTGCGTGCATAAATGAGTAAAATAAATGAACTAAATTAATGAATTGAATCAGTTTCAAAGTACTGGTATTTTCCAGTTGCAGTATAGTACCGTTTGGAATACTCTAGTACCGCGGCACTATTTTAGTACCAGTATACTGTGCAACACTAGTGCTGTCATTAAAGTTAGCACTGTTAGCTGCTAGCTGCCAGTTAAAAAAGCTAGATGCCATAAAGTATGAAATTAGCCGGATCTTGGCCCATAGAGCAAGTGCTCTATATACCTATGGGTGACTAACTTCTGGTTTAGCCCTGCACCCCAGTGTTGGGGTAATGTGTTACAAAAGTAGCACAATGCAGTAATTTATAGGTTTTAGCAGCGTAAAAGTAATATAACACGTTAGTGACAGGATTTGGGGTAATATTAGTACGTTTACAATGTCACATAGGACAGTACCACTTCATTTGTCCACACCACTCTGCTTACACCGGTGCACAAACACCCCCCAAAGGTTGTTATGTGTTGTCATGTGATTTTATGCTACTTAATAGAATGGTGCCAACGACCAGCACGTCTGGGTGATGCCGCACTGTGCGTTATCGTGTTCAGAGTTCATTAATATACCTACGACATCTACACTGTATCCCGTTGGCTGCTAGAAGGCAGTGGGGATAAAGAGCTGACCTCTGGTTTGTTTTTTCCTGGTCCTGGTGATCGGCACATCTGGATGATGTCAGTATACAGTACAGGCCAAAAGTTTGGACACACCTTCTCATTCAATGCGTTTTCTTTATTTTCATGACTATTTACATTGTAGACTCTCACTGAAGGCATCAAAACTATGAATGAACACATGTGGAGTTATGTACTTAACAAAAAAGGTGAAATAACTGAAAACATGTTTTATATTCTAGTTTCTTCAAAATAGCCACCCTTTGCTCTGATTACTGCTTTGCACACTCTTGGCATTCTCTCCATGAGCTTCAAGAGGTAGTCACCTGAAATGGTTTTCCAACAGTCTTGAAGGAGTTCCCAGAGGTGTTTAGCACTTGTTGGCCCCTTTGCCTTCACTCTGCGGTCCAGCTCACCCCAAACCATCTGGATTGGGTTCAGGTCCGGTGACTGTGGAGGCCAGGTCATCTGCCGCAGCACTCCATCACTCTCCTTCTTGGTCAAATAGCCCTTACACAGCCTGGAGGTGTGTTTGGGGTCATTGTCCTGTTGAAAAATAAATGATCGTCCAACTAAACGCAAACCGGATGGGATGGCATGTCGCTGCAGGATGCTGTGGTAGCCATGCTGGTTCAGTGTGCCTTCAATTTTGAATAAATCCCCAACAGTGTCACCAGCAAAACACCCCCACACCATCACACCTCCTCCTCCATGCTTCACAGTGGGAACCAGGCATGTGGAATCCATCCGTTCACCTTTTCTGCGTCTCACAAAGACACGGCGGTTGGAACCAAAGATCTCAAATTTGGACTCATCAGACCAAAGCACAGATTTCCACTGGTCTAATGTCCATTCCTTGTGTTTCTTGGCCCAAACAAATCTCTTCTGCTTGTTGCCTCTCCTTAGCAGTGGTTTCCTAGCAGCTATTTGACCATGAAGGCCTGATTGGCGCAGTCTCCTCTTAACAGTTGTTCTAGAGATGGGTCTGCTGCTAGAACTCTGTGTGGCATTCATCTGGTCTCTGATCTGAGCTGCTGTTAACTTGCGATTTCTGAGGCTGGTGACTCGGATGAACTTATCCTCAGAAGCAGAGGTGACTCTTGGTCTTCCTTTCCTGGGTCGGTCCTCATGTGTGCCAGTTTCGTTGTAGCGCTTGATGGTTTTTGCGACTCCACTTGGGGACACATTTAAAGTTTTTGCAATTTTCCGGACTGACTGACCTTCATTTCTTAAAGTAATGATGGCCACTCGTTTTTCTTTAGTTAGCTGATTGGTTCTTGCCATAATATGAATTTTAACAGTTGTCCAATAGGGCTGTCGGCTGTGTATTAACCTGACTTCTGCACAACACAACTGATGGTCCCAACCCCATTGATAAAGCAAGAAATTCCACTAATTAACCCTGATAAGGCACACCTGTGAAGTGGAAACCATTTCAGGTGACTACCTCTTGAAGCTCATGGAGAGAATGCCAAGAGTGTGCAAAGCAGTAATCAGAGCAAAGGGTGGCTATTTTGAAGAAACTAGAATATAAAACATGTTTTCAGTTATTTCACCTTTTTTTGTTAAGTACATAACTCCACATGTGTTCATTCATAGTTTTGATGCCTTCAGTGAGAATCTACAATGTAAATAGTCATGAAAATAAAGAAAACGCATTGAATGAGAAGGTGTGTCCAAACTTTTGGCCTGTACTGTATGTTGGATGTGTTTCCATTCACATCTCCTACAACTGCGGAGCAATACGGCACACAGTCCCGTTCTTATGCATGACTCTCTGTCCGGTGCTGCTGTAGCTGACCGACACACTGGAAACCAGCAGGTGGGTCTCCAGCTCCGGTGTAGTAATTTGTGCTCCTCATAGAGACTTAATCACAGACCATTCTGTTTGTTGTGCTAACATCAACATTTTTTTGTTGTGTTTAATATTGTAGGCCCACAAATATTGATCCATATCTCATCATGATCAGACTCTGACCTTCTGCCTGACCCTCCCTGTGTCCAAGAATATTCTTTCATTTAAAAAAGTCATGAGCCTCAATCCATTTAACATCAGCGTCAGTTCTTTTGAGGTCACTTTGGTGAAAGCAATGCAAAAGTAGTGTAATAAGTAACTTATTACTCTACACAGAGAGTAATATTGTCAAGTGACATTACTTTCAAATGCAGGCAACTAGTAATATGTAATATATTACATTTTAAGAGTAACTTGTCCACCACTGGTGACGAAAGTGTAGAGCCCACCCTCCAGCTCCCTCCTTGGTTAACACCATTAGCTCTGTCACCACTGTTGTTGTTAAGTGTTGTCTAGTGATGGCCAAATGAAGCTTCATGAAGCATTTTCTTTATTTTCTGAGCCCACTAGATGGCGCTTTTTGTTCAACAAAGCACACTGAATTGCCATTCTTTGAGCCTCTCTCTTTAAAACATAAACGCCATCTAGTGGGCTCAGAAAATAAAGAAAACGCTTCATGAGGCTTCATTTGGCCATCACTAGTGTTGTCCGTGGGGTTAGCACTGTTGGCTACTAGCCGCCAGTTAGGAACCACACAACTCATATACTCTCAGATCCTCTTTGTAGATCAGAAGCTGTACTTATGCAGATAAGATCCATATTCAGAGGTTAGGAACTCTGGAAAAATGAAACTGACTGACCTAACTGCCTCATGGAGATCCCAAAAAACATCACTGAATGATTAAATTGATGAATCATGAATACATAAAATCAAATTTCATGGTATTCCATTTTTACTTTTCAAAAAGGGTATTATCAGCCACATACAGACAAACTAGGAGGCTTTATCTGCCCTCCCTAATGTAGATAAGCCCCTTTTGTTTAGAATATTCATTTAGAGCTCATCCATTTCCTGCGATGGAGAGTATAGCGTGACAGAAAAAGACCAGATAAGAGACTGAAAGCTTCACTGGGAGGCAGCAGTAGGTCAGACTGCTGTAGATGTCCTGGTGTATATTGGACTGGATTACTGATACACAGTGAGGGCGAGCGCTGATGGGAAATAGTTGAATCCAATGCCATTAGTGCCATGATCTCATGAATTGTTATAGTGGTCAGCCTGTTTGGAAGGAGGGAGTCAGAGAGGCATTTATGTAAAGTGCTGCTGGAAATTATTGTCGAGATGATGCTGAAATGTTTCCCTTTATCAAACTGATGAAATCTAATGAGAATCAAATTAAGTTAAACTCTCTGGATGTGTCTAATTAAAGGTGGCTGCCAGTGTTTGCTGCTCATCATGCATTACAGGGTGTGTGCAATGAAAACCGTACAAATGGAGGCTGTTGAAGCACATGGAGAAAGTGACAGAGAGGGAAAGGGGGATGAAAGAGGCGACAGGGGGAGGTGGTATGTGTGATGGGGGTGGATTTGTTGCTATATTGCCTAATCCCAGCAGCATCACACACCAACACCATCTGTCACCTTTCACATTTGGAGTCAGCTGCCTTACTGCTGGGTACCGACGGGTACTGGCGGGGAGAGCTCGGGTGGTGCGGGTTTAGGACACCTCCTGCAGCCTGTGGTCTGCACGGTGCGCACGGGGTCTGTGTCTCACGCTCGAGCGGAGGCGGAAGGAGGGTTTCTGATTTGCCAAACAGCATCAGCAGCACTCTGGTGGTTCTGTGCGCTCACAGAGGAGCGGGGAGGATGCAGAGGAGGGAGAGGCTCAGAGAGACACGGTGATGCGGTGACACATGGCAGCCTGCACCGCCTGCACGCTCTGACTGCGGCTCCCACTTTCCATTCACCGGGAAACGGGAGAGGCTGCACACTGGGATGCTGAGAGGCGCTGCTGGGAGGCTGGAGGCTGCTGCAACCACCGAGCAGGATCAACCACAGACAAACAAGCGGTAGAAGACACTGGGGACTGTGGAGACCGCTGATCGGATAGCCTGCTGATTATTCTGCTTGTTGGTAAGCCCGATCCTGGCCCCACCTGTCAGTACCTGCAGTGTTCAGCAAATAGCTGAGGCTGCTAATATTATTAATGATCCATTTTACAGCAATCACAGTGCAGCAACAATTGTTCTGTGATTCCACTGATGCATTTTGATCTGCATTTCATTGTTCTTACTTTACCTTCATTTGAGCCACCAAAACAAAGGAGGTGTTGAATTCCAGCCATTTTTAATAGCATTGAAATCCTTTGCATACATTTTTAAAATCTGTTTTATAACCAATATTAACCAGTGTCGGGGCCTATGTGGAAAGCTCAGCCTACTCAAGGTGACATTCGTTAGCCAAAGTTTTTTTCTACCCTCAGGTGTTTAACTTAATTCCTCAATAAGGGTCAATATTAGCTGTTAATTTAAGATATTTGAAAGTTTAAGGTGAGCAAACTTTTTCTCCCTGGATTTCCTATAAGGACCCCAGTTTAGTCTGAATATGTAAACCAAAAATAAATAAATAAATTAACAGCCGAATAATAATGCCAAGGAACCAGGGATGGCAAATATTCATACTGTGTTTTTTTTAACCCTGACATAGACACGCATATCCTCCCAAACAACTAAAATTAGGCGAGAAATCTGCATTTTGAAATGCAAAATTTAAAATATGGTCATAACAATAAAGCTGTAGGGCCTATGAGCTATATTGTCTTCAAATAAAGGCTGCTATCCCATTCTCTAGCTAGCAGGAATAGTTATTATATTCTTATATAATTTATTATATTTTTGTTTCAACCTTTTGAAATTAAATCAAACATTTTTTCTTCTTTTTTATTTTCAATTTTTGGAGGCTTTAAGGGACTGTTCTTTACTTATCAGAGTGACCAGGGTGTTGCTTTTTTTTTAAAATATTTATTTATTAATTTATTTTCTTTACAATCCCCAGCGCTACAAATATTTCTCCTTGAGCCTCCATGAGTGACTGATGGAAACTGCACAACCCTCCCTCCACCATAAACAAGTTATTAGATTTTAAAACTTACCCTATAATGTTTGAAAGTTGAAAAACTTCACTCTTGTCGTGTTTTAGTACAAGTGCTTTATTTTGGGACAAATATGATTTGGATGAAATATCACTTTTTTTAAGCTCAGATTTGGTTATATATTTTTTCTGACAGAAGCGATTGTCACACATGATGTGTCCAAGGACTGTCGGAAATTTTAAAATCCAATTTTAATTTCTGTTTTTACAGAATTTGGTTGTGATAAAGGGTGTAATTTTGGTGATTTTTCCAAACCTGCCTGCAACAGCGGGGAAATAAACACAAAATACAGCCATTTAAACATGTATGCCACTCCCCTGAGCCGAAATAAAAAGTTACGTCCCTTCTCAGAGCTTTAAAAATGATTTGACATGCCTCCATCTCTTTGCACCTCCTCCTCCCCCTTATAAGTTACGAACAGTCCCTAGTGATGATGTAGTGAGGAGTAGATAATACTTTACACATTGCAACAAACTTTAAATATATGAAAACACATTTTCCTGATTATTTCCCATTCTCATATTATTAATTCGTCTCACTTTGGTGTCATTTAAACATGAATATGATATTTTCTGAAACGCGATTTTTTATTCCCACTTTTGGCCGTACAGTGTGCCTGCTGATTTTTATCCCCGCCGAGCCGCCGTAGCGATGGGAGATAACATGTCCAAGCGGCTGAAGCTGATCTCGGCTACAGAGGCAGAGATGGAGGAGCGCTCTTTCCCAAACCCGTACCCGGACTGGGACCAAGGAGTCCTCACCTCCAACTCCGGAGCAGACGGAGACTACAATGAGCCGTTTGACGCGGAAGGAAAGGTCAGAGGTTATTTTTTGTTTTAAAATAACTTCCGCTGACGTGCTAACTGAAACTGAAGCTAACGTTAGCTTAGCTCAGCTGTCGTAGCTACTGTCTGTAGACTGGTCAACACTTGTTGTGCTCCTCTCTGCAGTGGTTTGGGTGTGTCTGGGACATGTTGAGGGACTGGTGGCTGCTTAGAGGAGCAAACTGAGCCTCACTGAACAGAGCAAACATTAATGCTAACGTCATGTGTACACGTTGAGAACATGGGGCCTCATTCACTAATGTGTGTTCGTAGAAATGTCGTTACTTTCGCCCAAAATAAGTTCTCACGGACCGGTACCGGACAGTTATGTCGTCATTACCGTACATATATCAGTGTACCAGAATCATCCTAAAGTGTCAGGCATGTGCCCGCTGTTTACAACTATCATGCGGCCACGCCCCCTGTCTCTGTGTACGGAAATGTGTTTGCCTGTTGGTGCAGTTGGGTCCTGCATTGGGGCGTGTACCCAACAGGTAACCCACAAAAGATTTAATTTCATCCTCAATTTAAAGGCTGTAGTTTGTGTTACATGAAGCAGTAACTCTTAAGCTGCAGGCATACATGATGGATGGCAGTGTGGGGCCACCAGGCGGTCAGAGCTTCACCCTCGGCCCCACCTGCAGGAATTGACCCTAGTGTCCCCAGTCTGCGTAAGGCTCCTACACATGGAGCCCTCCATCAGTGCCTGTGTGAGATACAGCTTTGATTCTTAGTGGGTGTTCAGACACATAAACAGCTCATCGCCAGAACAACACAAGGAGCTTTGTTGGTGTAGGTGTGTTGCTTCAGGTGCCAGTGAGTCAATAAAAATGGACCCAGCAGGGCCACCGTAGTAGGTCCATGAGTTTGAAGGCTTGATTGTACAACTCTGAAAAGTTATGTCATGACCTGTCTCAAAGCCATGACAAAAACGAGGAGACGTACGGTTGTGAAAGTAAAACGAAATGATTTTATTACAAACAATATAAACTTAGGTAATTGGCAACATAATCAAATACTAACAGAACTAACAAATAAACTAACTAAACCACAACATAATGCGCCGAGGAATCGTGGGCGCAGTGATGCAGCCGCACCAGGTAGGTCATGGAGCAGAGCAGAGAGCAATGTGAGGAGCAGTGCCAGCTCTTATACACCTGTGGACTGGCCAGGTCCCCCCAGGTGTGGCAAGCCCCACCTACGACCTGCAGGGAAAGACAAGACAACACAAAAGAGGGAACACAGAACACAACAGCAGGCCCTAGAGGCAGGAGGCCGTCACAGTTACAACAGCAGCAACGATTATATCTTTTGACTCAATGATGTGAGTTAAACTGTAAAATACAGCACTGTCATATCAAAGTCATCTAGACTAACTGTTTTCCACTAGTAGCACTGGTGTTCCCTGCTGTAGTTGTAGGTTTTCTACCTAATGAACAAAAGTGAAAACCACAGTCATTTCTCTCTATTTTCTCTGGTCACACAGCACCAATGTCAAAAGTATTTGTGTCCCTTTATTGCATAGATGGCATAGTTTTATGTGAGGACCCTCCTTATATCAGTGAAATACTTCTTTAAAGCCGCTACAAGGAACTTTTAACTGGATATGCAAAAGTTTCTGTTTTCTGCTGATGTCTGTGCGTGACCTACAACAGCAAATGAAACCATCAGTGTGAAGATAAGCTATTTCTCTATAGTGTATATCCATACCTTTAGGAAACTGTGTCCGGGTCCGCCCCAGGTCGCTTCCAGGACGAAGCGATTTACGGCACTCAGACGGCACACGTCATCTTACCTAGCTGCTTACATTTATAGTGACTCTTATAAATAGTCGCTATTCCTCCTCCTCGACCCGACGTCCGCGGGGAGTTAAAATAGCAGCAATCATCAGGTAAAAGTTCTGTGAAAGCACTGGACTCACCAACAGTCAGAGCAGGGGCCGCAGGGCTGGAACACCTCATCCGGGCCGACAACAGGTACCAGCCAGGCACTGACAGGGTACAGCGAGTGCCGAGAAATAAAGAGGCGAGGCACCGCTCCATACTCAGTCCAAGAAGCCGTGGAAGTGCTCGCCAAACAGGCCTTCAGCCTTACCAGCCGAACGCTGCGTTTACCCCGGTGGTGGTGGCGCTTACGCCGGAGAGGTGGAGCTGGGGCGCGGCAGAGGTGAGCTGGGATCCCCGATAGGAGTGGGGGCAAAGTTTTCCCGTCTTGTTGTTTCATTCATCCACAAAACAAACACATGCGCGAGCCAGGTAAGCATCTTTACAACAATACGCGCTAGAGCTCATGGGAAATGTAGGCTTCATTCTGGCAAAACACTACCGCTTTTGTCCACAGGGTCGCCAAAATCAACTCAAAATGAAGGTTCCTTGTAGGGGCTTTAAGGTCAAAAAAAGGTGGCACTCCAATTTTAACAGTGGCTGGTTTGACCATGGAGATGTGAGTGAGGGTCAGTAGACACATAAGACGTTGTCTGCAGACCACCTGAGAACCACAGTAGGACAGGATTGGACCCAGCTTGGCTAACCAACAAAAAGACTGTGGTCAAACTAGCCGCAGCTAAAGCTGGAGACCGACACAGGTAGAACAGAGCAAAGTCTTGGAGAGTAGAGCAGTGTCCAATCTGACACTCTAAACTAAAAACAGAGCACGGTTGTTCGAAGAAATAGAGTACTCTGTTTGAAAATGGATGAACGAATTAAGTTAAAATTGATAGCACACTGCTGCTCCGTCTCCTCAGACAGAGTGTCCAGAGTACGCTCTTCTTTCCCGAGAGTGTGGTGCTCTGAATAACAGGACGGTAACAACAATACTCAGAATTTCTGAACTCGCTAGAGTGCACTCTGGTGTTCAGAGTGACTATTTACAAACCCACCAGTGGTAACTTTGTTCGGAAAGTAACACATCACACTGGCTCCCTCCTGTTGTTTCACATGACACATGATGATGAGTTGAAAACACAAAAACACGGGGGCATATTTGCATGTTTCACTAGTGGTAATTGCCATAAACTCTCCAAAAATGGTAGCAAAATGTGAAGAAACAGTCTCAGGCTGGAGAAATGTAGCAGGAATGTGTGCCTGCAATGGGTGCATGATATTGGATTTTTTGCCGATATCTGATACGCTGATGTGTGACGACTCATTTCGCCGACAACAGATACCAATATCTATTGATTTCAGTGATCATCAAGTCTCTTCTGTAGTGAAATTAACATACATGCATACTCTTATCGTGACGGCCCACCAGCAGATATAGACATGAAATACAACACTTTTCAGTTTATGTAATATTCATTCATTGTACAAAATAAGAAGAAGCATGTTGGGTGATTTTTATTGTTCATTCTAAAGCCGATATTGGCCGATACCAATGATGTGTTGATATTATGGTGCCTCCCTGATATAAAATATACCCCAGTCGTGCTAATGACGGGTTGTGTTTTGTATAAATTGTGTCAGGCGGAGCTCCTTGTGTCATTTTTAGTTGTACTCCCTCGTTCTCCTCTTTGGCTTTTTCTGAACATACCATTGTTATGCTAAACAGTAACATTTATTCTTGTGAAACAATCCTGTCACTTTGCCTCTGCTTTGTTCTCTATCCTTCACCATTGATCCCTTCATCCATGGATGACTGTAGCAGTGAGTCAGAGCAGGGAGAACAGAAAGGCTTGGTCATAATCCTCCCTGTTCGAGGACAGAGGACAGGCTCTGGTCAGGCTCTTTGGGTTTTAGCCTTCAGGACTGTCTGTTCTGTTCAGACTGGACTGGGAATAAAAGGATTTTCTGATGGACAAGCAACTGAATTGGAGCAGAATGCAAATGAGAGCAGACTGCATGTTTATTGATGGTACTAGATTCCTGGGGGAAATCAATTTTTTTTATCAGGAAGGTTTTTGATGCTATGAGGACTAACTAGTGTGAGTGTAAATGTACCGACATCCAATTAAGAGCAGGACAGAGCTGTATATATATATATATATATATATATATTTATTATCGATGATTGATTGTTAAGGCTTTTGATCGATCACAAATAATTTTGATTGATAGTCACAGCGTTTCCCCTACAATGCCTGGCATATGTCCGGCGAGCCGCCGTGCCAACGAGACCCCCTGCCCGGCGAGCACGGTGGCTCGACGGGCCTACGAGACCCCCGCCAGACCTATGCCCAGCAAAAAATCATTAACAGACGGAGGCTCTCATCGCTCTCCAAAGCCTCGGCGGCTTCCCTTGAGGCCTCTGAAAACACTACGCCATTGAAAGACGGAGGTTTTGCTGAAAACTGAAGCCTGTAACTCTGGCTGGCAACGGTTGTAAACACCCAGGGGTAAACTGCGCATGCGCGCCATTCTTCCTCTTTGGCCTGGGGGGTTGAAGCTCAAAACTGGGGCAGCTGCGCTCTCTTGCGGCAACAGTCTGCACTGCACTCTTTTGTTTTCTCTCTTTTGAAATACTCGCTTATCAATTAATCGATAATTGATCGTTAATTTTTTTGATGATCGAATAATGAATTTTGATCATTTGCACCTTATGTTAGAAATACAAACACACTCTTTAATCCTTTTCTGTACACTTTTGCTCTTGTGATTTTGGTTTTGGATGGCAGTGGCTCAGTCTTTATGAAAGGGTGGCCCAGTTCAAGTCCATAGCGTTTTTTTAAGTCACTGACATGAGACTCGCATTGGTGTTTTGGTTCACTCGCTCACTCCAGTGGCTCTCTCCCTCTCACAGACACAAATACATCAAAAGAGACTCACAAACTTTCACGTCACACACACTCCCCCGCCCAATAATATTAAAATTCTCATCTGCAGGGCTCCAAACCGCTACTATTTAGTTGCATTTCCAACCATGGAGCACCTTATGTGACTTGCAATTATGCCATGGTAACAGTTTAACTTAACGAGTTTACCGATAGCGTGAGCAGACAAAGCGTTTTACTTTGTACCTCCAGGGTTCCAGCCTGCAACTACTTAGGCACATTTTGCAACCATGGAGCACCAGTGAACTGTTATGAACTGTAGAGCTGTAAGTGTGTTTCCAGCTTGCAGTGAATAAATCTTCACGTTTAAAGGTGCTGCGGCAACAGCTTGACGTAATGCCAAACGCTAACAGCTAACTGTAAACAAATAGAAAAAACATTAACACTCACGGCCCGAGACGAGCCAGGTGCTTCAAAATAAAAGCACCATTGGTTTCACTTTGATTTGTTTAATTATAACTTTATTTAACTTAATCACAACAGTATTTTAACTTTATAATGACAGTAGCTACTTTATTTAACTTAACTTCTAACTGTAGTTCACGTAACAATTTTGTATTTTAGAAGTCTACAATACTTTAGAGGTGATTTCAAAATATCAAGATATATATCATGTGTCACGATAAAGCCTTAAAATATCACAATATTATTTTTAAGCTATATTGTCCAGCTGTAATTTAAGGATGTGAGAGTTGATATCGTCTTAGATTTAGGGTATTGTTATATCGTAAGTGTTGTCTTTTCCTGGTTTTAGAGTCTTAATTTCAGTAAAGTGATGTACTTGTACACTAGTCGATTACTCAGAATGCTGATGATATTTATCAAAAATCTCACTATGTAAATATTTTGTTAAAGCACTGTCCTACAGTATCATTGTGATGTGTCGAGGTACTTCGCCCAGTTGAAATGTCTTGGCTTCATGTGCCACTGAGCAACTTTTGTGGGAATAAACAGGGCCCCGCCTCCAACGCTGTATCCAGGTCTCTGGATACAGCCAACTGCTTGGAGCACCAACTGCTTGGAGCGCCTGACTACGGCAACCCATCGCTCTGACATCACAACGCTTTCTCTCTGCATAAACAGTGTCTCTCTTGAGAAATTCAAAACTTGACAAGCCTGCTGGGAACAGTAACAGTTGGTGAGCCATGATTATGATAATTACTTGTGACACAATTGTTAGTGCAGGCCTCTGTTAGGTTACACAGCCTTATATCCCAACGTGCATTGAGAAAAATGGTGACTGACTGCAAATGCAGGCTGCTACCAGCGTATGAAAAACAGTCTGCACATGACTGGCTTCCATCAGCAGCAGCAGAGATTGGCAGGGGCTGGGAAACCTATTCTCTAAGCGGTCCCTGTTAATTTATCAGGCCAGTGGATAGGAGTAAATGGGCCTTGAGTCCAACAAATAGCTCCTTCGTTCCCTGCACACCCCCGGACTCCCAACTGCGTTTGTTTGAAGAGGTGGCGAGTGAGAAACACTCACTGAAATCTCTGCTTTGATTCAGGAAGCTGCCCGGCTCCTCGTCTCATACAGTTCACACTGTAGGCTGAATGGAGCCTGCAGAGAATGAATTAACCCCATATCCTGCGTCAAACCAGGCTTTGAAGCATGCTCTGACCTACACTGTGCTGTGAAATCTGTAAGGGTAAATAGAGCCTTGAGCTTTGTGCAAATAAGCTCATTAACATAGTGTGTTTCCTGATATGAATCCTGATGATGAAGAGTTGGGTTCATAACTGCGTGATGCCTGACACATGATTAGGCTTTCTGCTAGTGATAGAATGGGACGGACAGGACACACTGTGGGGCATTGTATGACCTTTGGAATTAGCAAGGCAAATTTAGACGTGGACCTCATGTAGGGCCGGACGAGATGGCCAAAACTGTGGCATGCTTTATTAACGTCAGTCGGATGTTACGGCGGCTCGTTTCTACCTAAAAATCGATTTATGTCAACATGTGGATTTCAGGTCATTTTGAGCCTTTGTTTGATTTTTAATAAAGAAAGTTTTGGCTTTCCGAATATGAAACTGTTATCACCAAATTTGGATGATAAGTACAATTTGGAAGCTAGTAAAGGCATGATGACAAGCTAGCACCAAACTTTTGTCAACCACATACAGCCCCTTTCCTACTGCACAAAAAGCTGTAGTGTGTGTGATGGGAAAGTTTCCAGTCAGCATTCACACACTGGTCAAATGACTCTGCATTAGTTACAGGTATTTACCGGCTCCAGCTTTGATCGGCAGTGATGGAAATACAACACCCTGGTGAACGCCCCAATTTTAGCCCCTTTGTTGCCAATGCAATGATGCGCCACCACAAAATACCGTCCGTCTCCGCCCTAGCAGCGCTCAAACATCTTTCCAGATTAGTCTGCGCAAAGTTTGAAAAACAGACTAAGTAATCGATATAAAAAAGAAGAAACCACCATAACATTTTCACTGGCCTCCATGCTGCTTTCTACTGTTTACTAACCTGTTTTCAGGCCTGTCTGTGATGTCGATCATGACACACCAGAAAAATACAGAAAGGCGTATTTGTCTGCTGCAGAGCCATGTTCAAGGCTCTTGTCTACTGGCAATGGGAAAGGAGTCTATGGCCTATTTTTTGGTGGTTTTCCTGTGTTTTAAAAACCCTTGTACACGTGCTTATTTGGGTGGAAAATGGATTTATGTCTCCCTCAGATTTTGAATAAAAGACTTACAGCTACAAAGCAGGGTCTGGGACCGTGGGTTTTCATCTCATTTCTAATAAAGTCTTTGCTTTCAGAATATTAAAACCCACTACTGCCTAGTTCTAAGCAGCTTAGCATCATGCATTAAAATATAAACGTTTAATGTAAAACTTTTGCCATCCGAACATGCTACACATCGTTAGCTTGATTAGCACCAAAGTGTATTTTATTCAGATTTACTGGCACAGTGAACAATAGAGACAAAAAAATGGTGACCCTTTTGAAGTGCGCCTGTGTCCATTCCTTCATTAACTATTTATATCACAGATTGACAGAGGCCGAGTTGACACAGTGACATTGCTTGCAATCAGAGAATAATCCAGAATCCACTGGATTAAGAAACCAACAGATATTTTAACCTAGAAGCTGGCTGGAGTTTATGAATGCGCTGTCTCTCTCCTCCTCAGGTGAGCGCTGCATTCCAGAAGAAGGTCCAGAATAAGATCAAAGATCTCCTAGAGCAGATGGAGGAAGGCCTGAAGACCGCCGACCCCCATGACTTCTCCACCTACACCGGCTGGACAGGTCTGTTGCCATCAGGGCTGGGGCATTGAAAACTGGCTTCAAATCTGAATCAGCTTCAAAATTCAGATTCCAAAAGAATCATCAAGAATTTTGATTCTGCCAGTCGAATCCTAGACAACTACACATTGGCGCTTTTTGTGGACTGGACGACGCTGCGTAAAGCAATACATTTTGTTTTTGTTGTGTTCAGACACTATGGGAAGATCAGTAAGAGTTGTGAGCAAATTAGAGAGTAGAGCAGAAGTATTCCCATCGCTTGTGAAGCAATGTCTAGAAAATAAATTAATTTTTACTGTAACGTGTTTCATTTCTGCAGGTGACAGTGTTACAATTACAGCACAGGGAATTAAAAAAGAATAAACAGAATATTATTGAATCGTAATATTTAATGACAGCCAATAAATTCATCTGGATGCAATAAATGTACGGCTTCCAATTTCCTGTAGAAAATGCGTGTGGATGCTGACAGCTGAAATGAATTGCTAAAAATGCAGAAATATGGAAAAATTTGCTAGTGATAGGAATAGTTGAAAAAGTTGAAATGGGTCTAATTAGTATGAATATCACTGAAAAGTCAGATTATACCAATATTTGGAATATATGAAGGTTTTAAAAAAGCTGACTCAACACAGTAGCATTTCAAAGTGCAGTGGGTTTAAGAGATTTGAAGATTCTCCCCCTTAGTTTATATTGTAAAAAAAAAAAAGTTGAATATTTTAAAACGTTTAAGTGTTAGGAAATAGTTAAATAGTTTGATGGTTGAATGGTTTTTGTAGCTGAAAGTATGCAGAAGTAGTTAGATGCCAAAAAACGTACGGAAGAGTGCAGAAGCATTCACACTAATTATATGAAATTTGTCAAAGTTTTTAAACATAAAAGTTCTTTTTCCTGTGAAGTTAACATGTGACATGTTTTGACCCCACCCCCCAGATAATTGAAATTGAGAATCATTAAAAACTGGAATTTTATAGCAGAAAATAAACAATCCAAACAATACCCAACCCTAGTTGTTAGTGGTGATGGCCAAATGAAGCCTCATGAAGCATTTTCTTTATTTTCTGAGCCCACTAGATGGCGCTCATGTTTTAAAGAGAGAGAGAGGCTCAAAGAATGGCAATTCAGTGTGCTTTCAGCCTTTTGTTGAACAAAAAGCGCCATCTAGTGGGCTCATGAAAATAAAGAAAATGCTTCATGAGGCTTCATTTGGCCATCACTAATTGTCAGTATGATAAAACTGAAGACATGCTAATTCCATGTGTCAGCGTCAGCCTATCACTGATCCCCAGTGTGCTGTCTTCACTCCAGGCATCGCCTTACTGTACCTCCAGCTGCACCGGGTGACCCACGAGGCCGCCCACCTGCAGAGGGCACTGGACTACGTGAAGAGGAGCATGAGGATCCTGAATGGCCGTAAAGTGACATTCCTGTGTGGCGACGCGGGGCCGCTGGCAGTGGGCGCGGTGGTTCACCACAAACTGAATAACACTGCTGACAGTCAAGACTGTCTGTCCAGGTGAGTGGACTGTGGATGTGTCCAACACGGTGCGTCTAATGTGGGCAACGTTGCCTTCTGAAACAATGAGGAGCAAAATTTGTGGAGTCACAGGAATATTTCATGATACCACTGCATGTAGACATGGTAGAGTTTAAGTTTTCTGGCAGTGTAGGAATTTTTTTGGATGAAACACAGAATTTGGGTTTGATCGTGGATGTAGGGGCGGGCGATACAATGATATTCGGTCGTGAACAATTAAAAAGCGTCCCAATGATCAGCCTTTACAGAGGAATCGTCAGTATTGTGCTGCAGTGCACATTTTGTCAGTTGCACTTCCATGGCTCATACATCCATGTTTATTAGAATGTTGCACAGTGCTACCTCAAAAGCCCTATGCCTTGAAACTTGAAAACTTGAAACTTGAAAAACAGCGTGCATGGTTTTGCTGAGGATCTGTGTCTCATGAGCTACCTGACTGTTACAATTCCTACCAAATGTTATGTAGAAAGAGTGCACTTAACTTGAGTGTAGTTAACCTTTTGAAACCAAAGTTCATTTTGGTAGCTCTTATTCTAGCTCTCAATGTCCTTGAATAATCAAAACCATTTCAGAATTCCTGTGTAATGTTCAGACTTACTTCATACTTAGAATTGAACACGACTAAAGCCTGATTTATGGTCCTGCGTTGAATCAACAACGTTGCTACGTCGTAGGGTACGGGGCTATGCAGAAGGCTCGCCGTAGGCCCCGGCGTAGCCTGACGTGCACCTCCCCAAAAATGTAACTACACGTCGAGGCGACGCAGACCCAGCACAGACCGGCAGGGCTGTGATTGGTTTGCTTGGTAGCAACGCATTTCCGGTTCCGTATTTCCAGATTGCGCCATCCCCACCATCTTTAAACATCTTCTGTTGCGATGTAGATGTTGCAGTATTAAGGCTCATTATATATATATGCCATTATGCTCAACGTTCAATACAGATACGGATACGGCTGGAGCCGTCTGTCCATGCTCCGCGTTCATTTCTCTGTGACCGGAAAAGCCGGAAGCTAAACAAAGAATCAACTAGAGACGACGACAACCACTCAGGAAAGGAGCACAGCCTCCTACCGCTCTGGCGGTGAATTGCACCGCGATGAAACAGAGTGACGGAGAAGTTCGAAGGGTTCACGACGTCGTTGAGTCAACGCAGGACCATAAATCAGGCTTAAGAATCTTCCTAGTGGACCAACAGTCCTCATCAGTGGACTAGTCTCCTGCATGTTTCTGATATGAATGTAATGATTAAATGATATATTTTGGTGGTTTGAGTTGAAGGTGTGAGAAAGAATAGTATCAGTAACATTGTTAACACTGTGCTACATTACAGAGAAATACAAACCGTACTAATGAACCTTCATTAATATAGGCCTATATTTTATCTCCAAGTGCACGTCACACACTGAGCGAGCCGCCTGTTAATGACGCTGTGGGCTAATGGGCATGTAGCTACTTCCATGTTTCAGATGATACGTCATGTTTGTAGTCGACCAATGAAGATGAGTTTACATATCACCTTGGGTTCGTCCTTCACCTTCTCAAAATGATCCCACACTTTGGATTTCCTGCCCGACATGTTATTAACTAGCCTGTGGAATAACCGCAGGTACCAGCCCTGGAGATTAACCTGACTCCTGTCTAACTGCTGAACGTGAACACTTCCTGTGTCTGTCCTTTCAAAATAAAATCACACATGGTCCAGTCATATAGGTTTGGATTTATGTTGACGAGGTGCAGCTCCTAACAGAGACCTAATGACCTTTCTGGTCGACTATGAGTGTGTGTGTTCATAGTAATGAAGGAACATGTCAGCCAGTTTAACACTGTGGCTCAATGATGTGTTTTTGGTGGAGCAAGGCTGGTAGTTAGATAAAAGAATAATCAAATCTGACACCATGACTCTAACCAGCCTAATTTTAATCATGTTGATATGTTTGATAAATTAATTTCTTCATCCTGCCGCCCACCCCATAAGCACAGCAAGAATGTACCTCTACAGGCCTACATACACAACCAGTGGAGTTGGCTTTGTTCCATTTTTAACCATGTGTGCTCAGTATAACTCGACAAAACAACTCCTGTGGTAAAGAAATGCAGTGTGGGAGCTGGTACACAATAACATGTCATGTTGATGGTGTGCACACTGGCTTCAGTCAAGATACAGGACAAAATGATGCTAAATGTAAATACTGTTGGGTAACAGCAGCCTTACTGGGAGCGCTCAGCGTGTGTGTGGGGACAAAAAGCTGTGAGTCAGAGTCAGTAAACCATGAAGTAACAGTGAATGCAGTTGGAGCTACAGTTTGTCAGAAAATAAATGCTTCTCAAGAGCCAGAGTTCCTGACATTTGTTAACCAGCAGCTGAGTGTACTGATGTGGAGGTTAGCCACAAGGTTAGTAACTAATCTGCCTCCTCTGTGTTCCCGACCAGTCTGGAGGCTGATTCAGATCATTTCAGACAGTTATAGATGTGATTGTTAAAATAACGTCATTGAATATGCTCAATAAATAGGTTTCTCTGTCATTATCCATGATTTTCTGTGTATTTTTACTACAATTCCACTGTGAGGACAGAGATTTTGGTTGGTATTGATGTGAGGAGATTTTGTCCAGACAGAGGAATAAAATAAATCCAGCTTTGGATAGACACAAAAAATACTTTCCCTGAGCTCTCTCAGATTTTACAGTGTAATAAATACACCCTAAGAAACTCGCAAAATGTCAACAATATTGAAAATCATTCCTTTGGGATTTCTAAATACCCTGGTATACTGTATTACTGTGATACCGCCCAGGCCTAATCTCCAAACATTTTTATATATATATGTGTGTGTGTCAGGCTCCTCCAGCTGCAGAGGTCGGTGCTGAGTCCCGAATCTGAGATGCCAGACGAGCTGCTGTATGGCCGGGCCGGCTACCTCTACGCTCTGCTCTACGTTAACAAAGAGATAGGAGCTGACACGGTGGATGAGGGCACCATTACAAAGGTGAGACACACGCCTGCTCTTAAATTAACTTAACTGGTGAAACTTTGTTCAATGCTGGTTTTAACCCCTGAGGCCTGACTCTCCTGGATTTATTTTGATTCTCTACCTCATTCTAGCAGCCAGCATCAAGTGCCATACATCATTTTAATCTGAAGTCAAGTCAAGTCAAGTGTTTTGTCTGATAATGGTTAAGTATACAATGTATAAAGCCAGTAAAAAGTTTGTGTTTTTTTTTTTTTTTGTTACTGTGAACACAAACAGATTTAAAAAGTTGTAGTTAGATGTTTTGGACTTGCAAATGAATTTTGGTCGACACCTAACCTTCTCTTATAAAGTTACAGCCATTTATTATAAGATTAGCCCAGGCATTTTTTAGTTAAAACACGGATACTTTCAGTCCACTTTATAGGGGATAAAATTCCCACTGTACATACGGACAGCGCTACAAAATGGCGAAGTCACTGTATAGTTGACTATATTGTGAGTAGTGAGTGATTTCAGACACTGTACTGATTATATAGAGCTTCTCTGCTGCCAGGTTGAAGATGTGTCTGAAGGATTCATTTCTTGAAATCTGCAGCTTCTTTGCAGCAAAATCCAAATTTGAAGCGTTGTCTACTGTCATGGCTTCATGTGAGTCTTGACAGACGTGGATGTAAACTGTAACTTGTAGGGCTGCCCCCTAACAGTCCTCAAAACGTTAGTCGACCACAAAGGTCGTTAGGCAGCAAGATTTCATTAGTCGCTTAGTCGCAGAAAAAAAAAACGTGAGCTGCGCCTCGTCAAAATAAATCCAAACCTGTATGACTGGACCATGTGTGACTTTACTTTGAAAGGACAGACACAGGAAGTGTCCACGCTCAGCAGTCAGACAGGAGTCAGGTTAATTTCCAGGGCTGGTACCTGCGGTTATTCCACAGGCTAGTTAATAACATGTCGGGCAGGAAATCCAAAGTGTGGGATCATTTTGAGAAGGTGAAGGACGAACCCAAGGTGATATGTAAACTCATCTTCATTGGTCGACTACAAACATGACGTATCATATGAAACATGGAAGTAGCTACATGCCCATTAGCCCACAGCGTCATTAACAGGCGGCTCGCTCAGTGTGTGACGTGCACTTGGAGATAAAATATAGGCCTATATTAAAGGGAAATTTCGGTTTATTTCAACCTGTCTCCTATCGTCCTAAATTTGTTTCAAGTGACTAATGACATAAAAATAATAGTTAGCATGTTAGCCGTTAGCCTAGATACAGCCGGGGCCGGATACAGCCAGGGCTCTCACTCTGTAGCAGATGAGGTGAAACTGTGCTTGGAAAGCATCTTTAGATGACAGACATGTTTTTCCTGTGAGGCTGCTGTAATAACCATCTGTTAGACATCGTGCTGAGACAAAAGGCAACTAGTACCAGGGCACAGAGGACACACACACACACACACACACACTGGATAATAATCTCTCCACGCTCTATTTTGATTATTTATTTAAGCACGCACACACACTGCAGAAAACTGCAGGGCCAGCTGTCCCCTTTTGGTAAAGCGCCAGGCCAAAACACATATACCACACACACACACACACACACACACACACACAGTGTGACAGAAGGGCTGGGAGAGTGGGCAGCAGCACTGGGCTCACAGAAGTGTTAGATAGAGGTATTATTATGACTGATGAAGGAATAAAAATGTGGAGCTTTAAAGCTCCAGTTTCCTGCAGCACTGCACTGCTGTTCATCTCCCCATCATTTGTGCTCATATACCTGTCAGCGCCACACACAGCACGGCAGCACTCTGCACACTTTACCAAACAGTGGCTGTGCTCCAGGGTGCTGTTAAGAAATGTGTTTTTCTCTTTTAACTCTTACTTTGGTGTTGCTCTCTTTGAAGTGCTCTGAGACTTCTTCTTCATGTCAGGATTTAGCCTCTCTGACTGACAGCTTGAAGTGTAGACGCTTGGTGCTGAACAGAGGGTTTCAGCTGAGGGGTGTGTTTTTGAGGAGTGACTATTGTTTGGGCTGCAGCCAGATACAGTATCTCCAGTTTGTGCCAGCTCCAAAAGAAAGGGGGAAATAAGAAGATGGTGTGTGTGTGTCTGTGTGTGTGGGAGAGTCTTTTCTAGCAAATGCCAACCTAACTGTTTGCTTCGGCAAAATATTATGTTAGTAAGCTGCTGTCCTGCTGTGACACTGCATTTGCTTGACTGAGAAACAGTCAAATCTCCCACAGTCCGATGCTGAAATAAAATTAATTAGAGAATAAGTTCAATCCACTGCTAGATTCACAGTCAGTGAAAAGTAAAACTTCTCTCAGAGCCTCACCAGTAGTGAGCTAAAAAAGGTGGTTAGTTTAGAAGATGGATTTTATACATACCAAAATAATTCTGAGAAAATGTCACACAAATGTCTGATGGGATAAGATAATGAAGTGATGACATTTTATTGGCAAAAAGTCAACCTTCTTCCTGTCGTTCATGGACAACAACCAGGACAAGGGACTTCCCATTCCTCTGGTAGTCCACTACAGGCTCACTGGATTTGGTTATTCACTGGTTCTATTCATGTCAATATTGTGATAACTTGCATTTCCCCAGGAATGGAAATACATTTCATTAAATTCCTTCAAAGTCCTCACTACATAATATATTACATAAATCTGGACAGACTTGTTTTTCTTGTGTTCCACGGCCAATTTTGCAGCAGATGGTTATAGTGGTGGTTAGTGATGGCCAAATGAAGCCTCACAAAGCATTGTTTTTATTTCCTGAGCCCACTAGATGGCGCTCATGGTTTAAAGAGAGAGGCTCAAAGAATGGCAATTCAGTGTGCTTTCAACCTTTTGTTGAAGTGGGGTCATGAAATAAAGAAAATGCTTCATGAGGCTTCATTTGTCCATCACTAGGTGGTCAATAAAGATGCAATTCTATACAATGTTAAATGTAATTTAATATCATGGTATCAACCGAGACCTATAATACATTTTTCTGAAAAAGTGTGTTGCTTTTAGTGGTGCACATTAGGGATGGGGAAAAATTGTTTGCAAGTCTGAGTTGGTTAACTTCCAAAACTTCCAAAAATTGATTCTTTAGACATTTTTTTTTACATCTAGCAAAATTAAAGTGCTGCACATCCTGTCTGACTTTTGTTGTAGATCACCTAGCTCGAGTTACAGCAAGCAGTATGGCTCCTGGTTAGTTGCCCCCTGCTAACGTTAGCTCAGTAAGGTGTTGGTTATTTGCAGGAGAATGCTGACGTGACACTCTAGTGGGGCAAATTAATTATATTAAACTGTGGCGGTGGGCCACACCACCTCTCTCAGCGCACAGCAGATTGGGGTAGAGAATGAATTCAGCCCCCCTATGTACAGAATCGGGGATTGTTTTGAACCGAGAATTGATTTTGAATTCAATCATGACCTTAAGAATCAAATTGAATTGTGAGATACTGAAACATTCACACCCCTAGTTCACATTCATTCCTCCAAAAAAGATAATCAATATATAGACAGTATTTTTAGAATTAATCAAGACTGATTGAGTTGAATCAGACTGACTGAAATATGCCGACAAACTGACAGACTCTAAAGCTATATGATGTCATTTACCAGCAGACTGCTTTCCAGGCCCCAGCGGCTGCCTGTCTCACATACACTGATAGCCAAACGTTCAAGTAGCTCTGAGTCCTATCCAGAACTCTTAGATTAGATTTGTCTTGGTAAATCCTCTTGCTGCTGAATCCCAAAGGCTTCAGTTTGTTTACAGTGATTAATTTAAGCTGCAAACAGATTAATTCCTCCTAAATTACATTTTCAAGAGAGACAGTTGATTGCTTATTGAGGGGTGTGTGTGTGTGTGTGTGTGTGTGTGTGTGGGCTGCCGGTCTTGAAGCCCATGAAGATTCTTTCATTCATTCATTATCTGTAACCGCTTATCCTGTTTAGTGTCACAGGGTTTCTGGAGCCTATCACAGCTGACATTGGGCATGAGGTGGGGTACATCCGGGACTGTTCAATAGTGATGGCCAAATGAAGCCTCATGAAGCATTTTCTTTATTTTCTGAGCCCACTAGTTGGCGCTCATGGTTGAAAGAGAGAGGCTCAAAGAATGTGTGCTTTCAACCTTTTGTCGAACAAAAAACGACATCTAGTGGGCTCAGAAAATAAAGAAAATGCTTCACGAGGCTTCATTTGGCCAGCACTACTGTTCAAGGCGTAAATATCACCGTTTTGCTGGCTTGCTAGGTAGTAACAGTGCAGAAACAATGTCTGTAAACAACCGGCAGGATGAGATCATGGGTGGAATGGGCGTCATGTTTTGACGACGTGTTTTGTGTATGACTGACTGCCAGGAGATTTCGAAAGCAACTGATAGCACTTAGCAGCTAACTCAGCGAAGAAGAAACAGCGGCTGAAAATGTCTGTGAGAACAATGAGGTCTGGGAGCTCCTTACCCTTCGAGCAGAGGACGAGATCAGCAGCCATGTAACAGGGAAGGTAAAAAGGTCACACTTGAGGCTGACGCTGTTGTGTTACACGTCACGCCCATCACTCTTCTTTTGCTTCCAAGATGCAGACGTACTGTCTAAAATCACATGCTAGAGCAGCATGATGTTCTTGTTGTTTGGTGCTGTGTCAACATGCAAAGGAGGCATGAAGAAGGGACTTTGTAGCGGCCTAACAGCGCAATCTCTGCATAAAAAAGGCCCATGAAGATTCATGTGTGTGAATAAATTTAAATGAAAATGTTTTTTTCTTGCCTCCACGCTGGCGATAGCTGTGGCGAAGGCATTATGTTTTCGCGTTGTCCATCGTACGCACGAATGTCTCATCCTTGTGAACACGATATCTCAAGATGCCCAGAGGGAATTTCTTCAGATTTGGCACAAATGTCCACTTGGACTCAACGATAAACTGATACGTTTTTGGATTCAAATGCTAATTCTGACAAAACTTCATACAAAGGTTTAACAGGATAAAATAATGAAGGGATGACATTTTATGTCTAAAAGATCAAAGGTCAACTTCACTGTGACATCATAATATTTAGCATAAAACATTTTTCTGGCACTTTTTTAACGTCATATCTCAGGAACAGAAGGGTAGACATTTGGTCAGATACTGAATTGGTGACTCTAATCTTGAAACTGTGCTGATTATGTAGATCTTCTGTGTGTGAAGCAAATAAGAGAAACTTGACTGGTAAGCACAGGCATACAACCGCAGGCAGTAATAAGTGTCATTTATCCACTCTAAAGTGCACAATTTACGGGACGTTAGTTTAGATGCATAAAATAGTGAAGGGACGTGTAAATGAACAAGCTGGCTGCAAATCTGCCCTGTCATGAGAGGCAGTGCTGCTGCAGCAGAACAGTTTTCCTTTCTTTTTCACTCACTCTATCCTGCTCGGGGACAACACAAACTGCTGACTCAGAACCTCCAGCCCCTTGTCACACCCCCCTACACACACACACACACACACACACTTGTGCTGTTTACATTTAACTGCATTTGTTGTCCTACACTATTGTCATAATCATCTGCATGGTTGCGTTAAGGCAAAAAACACTTGGTCAGAATAAGGGACTGACTTGCTTGAATCTTGAAAAAGTCAGCAGTGACACGACACATCTAAATGAACCATTATCGCTCCTTAATTTTGACTGAATTGCGAGTCTCCGTGCTTTTCTATCCCCATCAGATATATGGCACATGTAATTGAGTTACTATTATTGTCATAGTTGCATTTGTTTGTGTAGACACCATCGCCACCTACAGATGATGTATTAGGCTGTTGAAGGGTTGTCCCATTTCATAGGGAAAGATTTCAACCACTATCCCCTTGTAACTCTGTTCTGTAAATGAGGGGTAGGGGTAAAAATAAAAAATGAGATTGGGCCATAGGAAAAGGGACCCAAACCACTGACATGAGACGATAGTCTTACTAGTTGTATTTAGAGTTCTGTACGTGCCTAAAGCCTAGATCAGACCAAAGATTTGCAACGAGATGAGTTGAAACCAACAACTACTTGCAATGCGCCATTCTGCAATGTTCTGAAAACCTGCCGATTCTCAACAGCGCAACTAAATCAGACAGTGTGTCATCTCTAGTCAACAACTCTCTGTGCTTCTGATCTGTAACGTTGACAGGAAGTGACCACCATGAGACGGTGTATCATCTCTAGTCAACAACTCTCTGTACTTCTGATCTGTAACGTTGACAGGAAGTGACCACCATGAGACAGCGCATCATCTCTAGTCAACAACTCTCTGTGCTTCTGATCTGTAACGTTGACAGGAAGTGACCTCACGATGAGACGGTGTATCATCTCTAGTCAACAACTCTCTGTACTTCCGTTCAGATTTGCAGCTTTTCAGACTTATTTTGTGGCTGAATATAATTTGTAGCTTCTTAAAATCTGAATGAGGATAGTGATAGTGAGATACTGGCTACAGTGATGAAACAAAACCAGCATCAGATGGACTGTATTCATAATCATTACGCCACAATAATATAAATAAACGTGTGTGGGCGGGGCATAAACACATACAGCGAGCAGCAGCAGCAACCCACCGTCCCACACCGGCACACCATGAGGACGGAAACAGAGGGCTCGGCGGGGACGGACTACCTCTGCACCTCTACCGCAACAAGCAAACATGCTGTCTGCCGTCATTTTGACTTGACCAGCGGACTTCACTACAAGCTGATTGGCTAGAGAAACAGGTGACGTGCTTTACATTCTAAAACCAGCCACTGGTAATTTGACCAGCTGAGTTGCAGGTGACACCATCAGCCAGCTGGAGTCGAGCTCAGACAGGTCAGTTTATACCGCTGCTACTTTTCTCTGCAACGTTCTAAAACGGTTTCATCTCGTTGTGAATCTTTGATCTGTAACACATGACGTGCATGGCTGCAGATGATTGGCTGAGTCAGAGAGAGAATGGCGGCATTTCTTGATAAATGACATTTAAAAAAACAACTAATTTGACTGGCGACTGAAGCTTAACTCAACAAAAAGGCCCAAACCTGACCTGGCACCTGCGACCTTACAGTTGCAGCTCAGGCAGCAGATCTCAGCAGAAATGAGCGCATATATACAGCACATGTTTCCACTGTGCCCACAGAGAAAGTGATTTCATCTCTGGCTTCCCTGTTATTGAGTTCAGCTGTTGACCTCAGCTAATTTGCTCCTCTCAGGGGTTGCTTGGCCTTCTGTTACTTTTCCACATTGACTCTTTCATTATGGGAGGCAGTGATGCATGTGTGTAGGACTCGGTTAGCCCTAAACAGATTTCAAATGTTAATAGAGTCTTCCATGTCCAGAATTAGCCTTTGTAGGTTAGAGCCTCTTTTATATTTACATTTACATATTCGTTGTATTGACCTTTCTAGCTTCATTACATTTTAATGCTCAGCACGACCTCCATCACACGACAACCGTTTCTACACAGTGAATTCATCATCCATGTGAAGGATAGTCTGAATGTAATTCCAGATGTCCAAAAATAAGCTCTGCTGAGATGAGAAATTCAAACACTTAAGGGGCCGTCCACTAGAATTCTTATCGCTCTTGTCTTGGATTTCATTAGACTATAATTTTGTACGGCAAGTTCAGCAGTCTTGTGCTTAACTAAAAAGGCAGAGTGAGAAATTGGATATTAATTCTTTATATTTTAAAAAACTGGAAGGAAGTCAAGTCCATACAGTTTATCACCTTAACTTAGAATCTTAAAATTCAGCATCCCATGTCCTTATACCATATAAGACTGTACGATTTTGGCCAATCTGTATGAGCCCTCTCTTCTTCCTTCGTATCCAGCCTCTCATACAACTCACTTTTCCCTAGCATTTGCCACCTCTTTCTTCACCTTGCACCTAGTCTTCCTGTACTCCTGTCTACTTCCTTCATCTCTCTGACTGTCCTGCTTCTTTTCCACCAAAGTCTTCCATCATGTACTTTCCTTTACTTCTATATTCCACCACCAAGTGTCCTTGTCTTCTTTCCTCTGCCCAGATGACACACCAAGTACCCTCTTAGCTGTCTCCCTCACCTCTTCTGGCAAACAGCAGTCTTCCTTCTTCAGTTTGCACCATTCGATCCCTGGCTTTAACTCTTTTCCTCTTCGTAGTCCCCAAAGTCATCGTACAGATCACCATCCGATGCTGACTCCCCTGCCACCACCTTGCAGTCTCCTGTCTCCTTCTAAGAAACTAAGAATGCACTGGCATGTGCATCCCCAGTTGCTGGGTTAACTAAACATCATCATCCAAAATTGTCCAGCTTTGTACTGGTGTCTGAAGCGTGTTTAAAAAGTACCAACCCTGCTTCATCTACCTGTAGATGCCTCTTGACACGCCCCACCCACCCAAACACCACTGTGGACCAAGCAAACCCTCTTGTGGCAGCAGTACTCCCCAATGGCAGTAGCCCTTCCAGCTGGACAATGTGTCATGCCACACTGCAAAAACTGCTCAGGAATGGTCTGAGGAACATGACAAAGAGCTTAAAGCCTTGACCTGGCCTCCAAATTCCCCAGATCCAAATCCAATCAAGCATCTTTGGGACATGCTGGTACATCATCTCGCAACCCACAGTACTCAAAGAATCTGCCATGAAGACCCTGGTGCCAGACACAGCCGGGCATTCCTAGACTTCCTGTGTCCATACCTTGACATGTCAAAGCTATTTCCTATCTGTAGAGGCCCCACCGTGGATGGGCGGTACGTCTGAGGTATTTGCATGTCCCTCAGATGCTCAGTTGTATTGGGAACTGGAGACTTCGGAGTCCAGGTCAATGCCTTGAGATCTTTGTCATGTTCCTTGGGCCATTCCTGAGCAGTTATTGTGGTGATGCATGGTGCAGTGTCCTGTTGGGTGGGCCACTACCTTCGGGGAGTGTTGTTGCCATGAGGGGCTTGGTCTGCAAAGTTGTTTGGGTGAGTGGAGCGCGTAAAGTAGCATCGACATATATGCCAGGACCCAAGGTTCCCCAGCAGGACACTGCATTGTACCAAGATTATTCACTTCACCTGGTTTTAATGTTTTGGTTGATCTGTGTAAATCAGATCTCTAAGTTTTATCTATTTTTAATGCTAGTTATTTGCAAATGTTAAAATCTAATCCTAATGAGATTCACGAAAGAGTTTCAAAGGATTTGGACAGAAGCAGATTTGATGAGAGTGAACATTCTCCAAGTTAAAAGCTTGAGGACACAAGATTAAGCTGTTAAGCTGTCAATTCAGTTACCAGGAAGAGAGCTCACATTTTGTCAGGATACAGTCAGAGCCATCATTTGCCTTCTCCCTCTCCAATCCTCAGGTGGTGACTGCCATTGTGGAATCAGGGAAGAACATGTCAGCAGAGCAGAAGAAGACGGACCGCTGCCCTCTGCTCTACGAATGGCACAAGAAGCAGTACATTGGTGCTGCCCATGGCATGGCTGGCATCTATTGCATGCTCATGCAGGTAAGACAGGCTGAATGGTTCCACTGGGTGGTTGTTGGCTTTGTAAACTTGGACATGTTTTCAGTGTGTGGTGTAAGCAAATAGTCAAATATTGGACACTTGCCACACTTTAGAAAGACTTCAATCACTTAGTGTCTCTTGTACTGTACAGTGAAATTTACTTATGGACATGATTAGAGTCCGAAATTTACACCCACCAGGGGCCGACAACAGGTACATTTTCCCTCAGACTATCTGCGACACTGGCAGTTAAATGTACAGAAACAGTTGTGTAAGAAAAAAACATGCTGAGTCTCTACCGCGTTTTAGTGTTATTTATATGCAGTTATAATGCATTTTTTTTATTTTCTGAGCCACTAGATGGTGCTCATGGTTGAAAGAGAGAGGCTCAAAGAATGGCAATTCAGTGTGCTTTCAGCCTTTTGTTGAACAAAAAGCGCCATCTAGTGGGCTCATAGAATAAAGAAAATGCTTCATGAGGCTTCATTTGGCCATCACTAGTGACAGTGCTAACCACTACACCAGCGTGCAAATGTATTCATGACACAAAAAGGCAATTTATCATTTTGGCCGGTGAAAATATGCTTAGCTGGTGGATTTTTCCTTCTACTGGCCACCTCGGCCAGTGAGTCAAAAAGTTAATTTCGGACAGTGGATGTGATACCTGCACCTTACTGTGATCGGAGCCCGTGATCAAACGCGCAGTTGGTGATAATTCTCTGTGGGCTCGTCACTGCCAGCCTCCTCTTTGACATCACTGTCATTTAATTTTTGGTCCATTGTGGTAGATGAAATATTTATAGGTCACAAATCTGCTTCATGTTTATAACAGTTTTCATTTCAAGGCACAGTTTGGTTTCTTTTTAGGTCACATCATACGCAAGACTCACATAAAGTCAAGGTGCAGAGGCAGAAACTCGTACTCGTACTTGTCGTCCTTCGCTTATCCGGATCCGGGTCGCGGGGGCAGCAGCCTCAGCAAAGAAGCCCAGACAGTCCTCTCCCCAGCCACTTCTGTCAGCTCTTCCGCAGGAACCCCGAGGCGTTCCCAGGCCAGCCGGGTGATGTAGTCCCTCCAGCGTGTTCTGGGGCGGCCCCGAGGTCTCCTCCCGGTTGGACATGCCCGAAACACCTCCCAAGGGAGGCGTCTGGAAGGCATCCTTACCAGATGCCCGAACCACCTCAACTGGCTCCTCTCGATGTGGAGGAGCAGCGGCTCTACTCCGAGTCCCTCCCGGATGTCTGAGCTCCTCACCCTATCCCTAAGGCTGAGCCCGGCCACCACCCAAAATTGAAATCTAAAACCAAATCTAATCAGGCGATAAAACCGACCTGACCTGACATGACCAACACGATGATGACACAGCTGAAGATGTGACGAGATTATAAAAATGCAGAGATCCCTGCAGTGAGGACAGAGAACAGAGAGTGCCTCTCTCAGAGACAGAGATCATATCAGCACTTCCATGCTAGTCTGGTTAATCAGTCTTTGATTGCTGATGGAAATAGTGTAGTCGATTTCTATGATGAAGCTTTTATCTTAAGTGTTAAAAGATTCAGATTTAATTCCTGGATTTAGCTGCATTGAACAGTTCAATCAGGCCAGAAGTTGCTCTGTATTGGACGACAGCAACATGACAGGCACATATTGATCACATTTTAGTCCCGGTAGTGTAATGTCACCTCAGCTGAAGAGGCTCATATCTAGCTGTTAGTCTATCAATAGCTCTTCTTACATGCCCACGACTTCTCTCTCAAACAGAATCTATTCCTATGCTCTGCTGTCCACTGTGTATTGACTTGTTTGACAGGCTGAAGCAGCACACTGCTGTGATTGAAGGCAGTGCCACACTTTGGCTGCAAACCAGCCATTTTGCCTGAGTCGGCACGCTTGTTCTGTTCGCTGCCTTTAAAATGTGATTCAAGTGATTTCAGTAAGCATCAGACGTGTTCCAATCTTCATTCTTTCATCTTATCTCTGAGGACATCTTCTTCGATTGGAGAACAATTATAAAACTAAATGAGTATTTGGCTGTTATGATATTAGCACAGGCTCTTGTCGTCAGAATTAGAACCACATTTCCTGTAAACGTTGCATTGCAGATAATCTTCTTCAGTCTGAGGTCAGGCCCCCTTGGCAAAGGTCTCCTTCCTTTCATTGTAATGTGTCAGAATGGGTTTAAAGGCCCTGACACACCAAGCCGACAGTCGACTGTCGACCAAAGTCGGGCTGGGTGAGCGCCTGTCGCCCTAGTTTTTGCGGTGTGTCCCGCGCTGTCGGTGTCAACTGCTTTTCGGCCGATTGAGCATATTGAATCGGCGGCGGAGCTTGTCGATGAGAGAGATCACTCTGATTGGCTGTTCAGGTTTTATTTCCTCGCCCCTGTAGCGAGTGAATCTGCCTGTAGTGAAACCGGGGCTAACCGGTGCTTCCTCCTCAGGCTCCACTTCACTCAGCTGCTCCACAGACCCGCTGCTTCTTCACACTTTAACCTGAATAACAAACCGGAGCTAGCTGGGAGCGGCTAGCGGAGCGTTAGCCGCAGCATGACAGGAGGGAAGCACAGCCAGTTAGCCTCCGCTAGTCTCTGAGCTAGCCCCGGGTCTCCGTTTGGATCCAACCGGAGCACCGAGCCCTGGTTTGTTATTCAGGTTAAAGTGGGAAGAAGCAGCGGGTTTATCGGGCAGCTGAGTGAAGTGGAGCCTGAGGAGGAAACACCAGGACCGTCTGGATGTAATAGTCCGTGGAGGTGCTGCGGTGCTCGGCTGCACAGATAGGAAACCCCTCGGCTGACAGGATGTGCCACTCTCTCACTCCGCTCTCTCTCACGCAGGCGCAGAACGTACGTGCTACTTGGCCGTCGGATGTAGTCCGTGTAGTGTGTTCAAATGCAACTGACACAGGGCGACGTGAGGAGAAGTAGACGACGCAACAGTTGGCTTTCGTCGCTGCTAGTTCTTTGATGTCGGTTTGGTGTGTCCGCACCTTAAGATACACTGATGCTCAGACGTTCGCCACATAGACCCTTTCAATCAGCTCTCTGGTGATTCAGCGTCTTTACTTGGCAAGAGACCCGTCCTCTGATGAGTGGACATTAATCAGTAGGTCAGTGTTTTATTGTTGGTCTAACGTCTTGTGTTTGAAGGGTCTCGTTGTCCTGGGCTGAGAGCCAGTGGAGGAGCTGCTAACTCTTACAGGCACACATCACAGAAGTGCTGTTGGCTGCTCAGCTAAATCAGTTCTTTGTGAGATTGGATCAAAATGTGGCTTGTGAATGAGTATGAAGTGGATCTCAATCTGCCTGCACTGAACCAGGCAGGCTGCAGTTTGGTTTATTGTGAACAGCTGTTAACTTGAGCTCAGGTGAACAGCCTCATTAAAAAACAAACATATTTTATCATATATTTTGCTGTCTCAGTGTCTACACACAGTTGACTACAGCTACAAGAAGGCGATGATTCACCGTGATGACCAGTAATGATTTAACTTAACATGGTCTCTGTCTGTCTCTAGCCAGGAGCTAAGGTCCACTCAGACATCCTGTCGGAGCTGGTCCGTCCCAGCATCGACTACGTCCGCCACAAGAGGTTCCGTTCAGGGAACTTCCCGTCATCGCTGAGTAACGAGAGTGACCGTCTGGTTCACTGGTGCCACGGAGCCCCTGGTGTCATCCATATGTTCATCATGGCTTATAAGGTGAGACTGGCGTTGTGCCGTGTGCTTCACATTGTGCAGTAACATCACCAGTGAAGCAGCGGTAAACAGAATCTGTCTGGACTGACCTGACATGAAAGCTGCTGCTGTGTGAAACCACCCTGTCCGACACTGGCCCCCTGTGGCACGGCTCTGCACTGCATGGACATCACACTGTGCTCCAGATATGTTGGCATGTGCAGCTGCCACTTTCAAGAGAACACTTGTAAAAGTTGTTAATCGATTTTATTCAACACACACTTTATGTTGTCACTGCTGAACTTGTGAGGGGATTATGACAAAGGCAGAATAAGAATTCTTCCCTCCTGACTAACCACCAGCAATCCTGCATTTTAATAACCTTGCTGTGCACACACACACACACACACACACACACATGCATACTGCAGTAATGCATTGTGGGCTAATTTCTTCTTTTCTTGGCCCATTAGGGAGCCACTTGGCAGCTAATGCACTGCTATTCCGGCATTTTCATTCCTCTCACTAACACAGAGACTCTTTGGCACCACACAGAGAACAAAGCACAATGGGAGACATGGTTGCTTATCACTGTCTCACTGTTAACAGAACACACAACACAGCTCTAGTTTGTTGTTGCACCAGAAGCATTTCAATCATGTGGTTTGTCAGTGAAGGTTTCAGGTAAGCTGCTGCAGCTGTAGTGTGTGTTTAAAGCTGGCGTTACACACCAAATACTGATTTGGTTTCAGAGAACATGAGCATGTCTGACAGTTGTTGTTTCACCGAGCAATACTGTTGGATATCTGTTATTACAACGAGAGATTACAAACTTTTTAAACATGGAATTGTCTCCGTCACAGGAACGCAGCACTAATAATGCAGAAAATAAAGGAGTGCCACATGACATGGCTTTTCAGTATCCCAGCTATATGATTGATTTGCTCATCTTAAAGGGGAACACCACCAAAATTATAGACTCACAAGTCCGTCTTTAGACGCTTTGCTTAACTAAAGACTGATGACTTTCTCCCTGAATTTGTGTTTAGATGGGCGGATACAATTTCAGAGTTTAAAAAAACTCCCTACGTTGCAGAACCAATAGTAAATCCGCAGGGCGGTCCTTCGGTGGCTCACTGAACTCGTGCTTGTAAACATAGTCCTACTAGAAACACGTGTAGCAGTACAAAATGGTCGCTGTAAGTCCTTCATTTCCACAATCTTGTGGACTGAGCACACGTTTGATAAAACGGAGTTTAATCTCTTGGCATCCATTTTCAAGCTCTCTGTGTGTTTGTGTCCTTGCGGACGAGAAAAGGGGGAGCGCACATTTCCGGGAGGGCGTGTCCTTTTCAAAAATGCAAGAGGCGTTGCTTTGTTGCCGGCCGTTTTCTCCGGTGTGTTAAACACACTTTAGAAAGGAGTGTCCCCAGACTATCAGAAGC